TGGCGCAGCCCGCATGCGGTACGCGCCCAATTTTGGCACACCCCTCACACGTTTCGTGGCCCCATAGGGAGCTCCAATGTAGGCTCCAGTGGCGCAGCCCGCATGCGGTACGCGCCCAATTTTGGCACACCCCTCACACAATTCGTGGCCCCATAGGGAGCTCCAACGTAGGCTCCAGTGGCGCAGCCCGCATGCGGTACGCGCCCCATTTTGGCACACCCCTCACACGTTTCGTGGCCCCATAGGGAGCTCCACCTTAGGCCCCAGTGGCGCAGCCCGCATGCGGTACGCGCCCAATTTTGGCACAGCCCTCACACGCTTCGTGGCCCCATAGGGAGCTCCACCCAAGATCCTAGTGGCGCAGCCCGCATGCGGTACGCGCCCAATTTTGGCACACCCCTCACACAATTCGTGGCCCCATAGGGAGCGCGGGCGAAGATGGTACTCACAATTGCGGTATTCACAACTGCATATGGTTGGGTCCTTTGTCAGACTAATTTGTTTTCTTTTTCCGGCGAGGACCATCGAGGAGTATCTTGGATCATCGATCAACAAGAAGCACACAACAACAGCAACAACAACAATAACAATAACCTTAACAATAACAACAACACAAAACACGAACATCGCACGGAAATTGGACGTCCGAGTGATGGCAAGTATTCGCTGTTCCTTACTGCAGCGCGAGGACCAGACTCGTAACGTGGGATGACGATTGAGAACGGCCGTGGGGGCGGGGGGGGCGTCACGCAGCGGCGCCTTGGGCGATAATTCATGGTTTCGGTTCTGGGTTTGCTCGTGGGCGTCATCGTCGTCATTGAGATGATCTACCGTCATTCCTTTTCCAAAATGTTCCCCAGCGGCAACCAACTACCTATTGAATCGTTCCCCCAATTTGCTTCGAACTCGCCACCCTACATTACGGGTCCAGTCGATGTTGCGGCATCGGACCCCCCCTTGGGTTTCAGTTGGCTGCAGACAGTATCCAAGTTCTGAGCCCCAGCCGGTTCTTTGAAATCCGACTTGCATGGGGTAGGGTTCATTTGTGATTGCTTTTCTTGTGCTCCAAGCTGCTCAATGGACAGGGGGATGTTGGATCGCGTGTGGGGGAGAGGGGGGGTCCTGCACGCGGCGTGGGTGGTATCGGCTCGGGGGGGGTCGGCCTGCGTGGGGCGGGGGCCAGGAGAGGTTGCTAGACACGAGCGCACGGGGGGGTGAAGGGTAAGAGTCATGCGAACGACGTGGGGTGCACTCTGTCCTCCTCCCTGTGCTCCCCCGTTTCCCTATCCGCCCCTCCCCCACCCCGAGGCCCCCGACGTGGTGATTTCCCACGGCGTGGACCCCCAGATTTCTCGACATCTTCCTTCACGGCCGGCTTTTCATCCCGAGGCGGTCCTGTTTGGCGGTTTTGGGGCCTGGCGAGGGCCCTTGGAAACCAGATCGTCCAGTAGCAAGTCATCGAAGTCTGGTGTGTCCTCGAAATTACGTCTTTAGAGTGCACTGGCGTGCGCGAGCGTCTGGTAAACGAGGAGAAATCGCCGATCTAGGGTAGATCAGAATCGATTTAGCGTCGACTAGCCTCGATGGGAGGCTCCACGAAGGATCGGCGGCACGGCCACGGGGTACCCACTCACGGGTGCTTCGGCAGCGAGCATGCAGGCGGAAGGAGGGCGGCGGGACCAAAGTTGGCGCGGGATGGCGCAGAGCATCATTTTTTTGCATCGGCCAGAGGCCAGCGGCTACTGAGCACCCGCCAAGGGGGGGAGGGGGGGCGCTTGCCGAAGACGAATACGCAAACATGTCCGCCGTGCCTTCCTTTTCCGAGATGCGAGGCGGCGTGTGGGTCCGCCACCCTCTCTGGGAGCTCCCGTCGAGCGCAGGGGGCATCTCCATGCTCCTGGTCAAGCGCGACGACACGGTGCAGACGAAGATCATCAAGTCGAAGTACTCCAGCGCCGCAGGCGCTCCTCTCATGCCCTCCTGGTCTCGGAGGCGTCGAAGAGGGGTGTGGGGAGCTAGGAGCGGGGGGCGACGGGATGGCATGGCCGGGGCCACGAGCCCCCCCCCGAGCTCACGTGGGCCCTGCTTCTTCCAGCACGCCCTCTGGCCCTCTGGCGCCCGCCTCCCTCGTCAGCGCACCCCCCCGGCCCCACGGAGAGCTCCACGTGCGAGCTCAGTGCGGGCGTTCCTGTAGCGTTTCCGCGCCCATGCCGGCACACCCCTCGCACAGATCACGCGCAGATCACGCCCCAGAGGGCACTGCACTCGCAGCCTCAGTGTGCGGGCTCGCATAGCGCCCCCCCCGCCCATTTCGGCGCAGCTGTTCCGCACGCGGTGCCTCACGGGGAGCTCCACCTGCGGTCCCAAATGGGGTGTCCGCACCGTGCTCCTGGCCCCCACCCGCACACACCTCGCATTGATTTCGCCGCACAGGCAGCGCGTCCCAGGATCCCAGCCCGTCCGCAGCGCGCAGTGTATGTGGGGAGAGGGCCATGACCCGCGGCTCATGCAGCCGCAGAAGGTTGGGTCTCCTCCTTCAATGAAGAACTGGTCCGAAGAGGCTTGTGTATAGAAACGCGCCCCCGCGGAGAAGCAAAACAGCGCCTCCTGCCTCCGCGGAGGTATTCTGGGGGTCCCCAGAGGTAAAAGGAGTGAAGGATGCGGAGGGGTGCCATGCCCCAGGAGGGAGGGATGCGGTGGCAAGGCCAATACACCAGTTGGAGCAGTGACTAATTGCCTGTCTCGCGTTTGAGGCTGGCATACGCGAAGCGGATGCATGGGGCGTTCCAGAAAGGAGGTTGGTGTCGCCTTCGGCAGAAGCCAGCCGAAGCAAAAATACGGCGGTGAGCCCGCCAGCGGCAGACCAGCGGAAGGAGGCGGAAGGAAAAGTGAGACGTCAACATTGTTGGGTTCAGGGGCCCCCCTGGCCCCATGAAGAGCTCCACGTACGAACCCAGTGCGGGCGTTTCTTAAGCGTTTCGGCGCTCATGTCGGCACATCCCTCACACAGATCACGCCCCATTCACAGCCTCAGCGTGCGGGTTCGCATAGTGTCCCCCCGCCCATTTCGGCGCCGCACGTAGTGCCTCACGGGGAGCTCCACCTAAGGTCCCAAACGGGGTGTCCGCATGTGTTTCCTGGCCCGCACCCGCACACACCTCGCATGGATTCAGGGTGTCCTGATCCGGCCACATGCTCAGCCTTCACCGTGGCATAAGTTTATGCAAGCGTGTGAAGCATGTGTGGCAGTTCTGGTAGTAATTTGCTGGCAGGAGAATACGTGGCGGCAAGTGCGAGATCGCGTAGCAGTCGGCAGCGTTGTAGAAAGTAACAGCTCTACAATGAATGGTACGAGCGGGGGCACAGTTCATGCGCGTATTATTGGCAAGCAGATAGGTCAGTGCATTGGTGGCCAGTCCCATTGGCTCGGGCGGCGTGTTGTCAGTGGCACGTGGACGGAGCACCGCCCGCACACGGGGGCAGATCCCGTTGGGCCGCGCTCTGTGAGAGGGCCGGCACGGTCCTCTCGCGTTCGTGAATCGGGACGATCGAAATTCGTACGGAAAGAATAGGTGCGATGCCCAACAGCAGTTTCTAATCATTTTGAACAGGACTCGCTGCCCGCGCCGCTGCGGATTGTTCTTTGAAGACAAAAAGCCGCCTTCCTAACAGCGGCCGCTGTCAGTTTTTGGCGGCACTTGTTGTTGGGCACTGTGTACGTTGTTTTCCGCACCCGTTTCGGGCGTCCAGAGTGAAAGCTTTTGTGCGCTAGAGCCTGAGCGCGCACGCGGTTCGACGAAGAAGTGAAAGAAGATGGACAGGAGAGATGGTATCGAATGGGGCGCGAATGGATCCAAATTCGGGGAGGGCCAGCTGAGACGACGGCAGCGCTCCAGCCTGGCTAAGTCCGCTAATACGGGGTCCTCGGACGGCTCCCGGGGTTCCAGTCTGACAAATTGTTTCGAGGCGGATCCAGCCGTGGCGACGAGAAGCCTCCAGGAGGCCGAACAACGCCTGGGAGAGCCGTCGTTGTGACTGGCCCTTCTCCGATTCATCTACTGTGGCCTCGTCTCGGCGGCTCGTGCGCCCAGGCTATCCTTACCTCCTGGCGGCGTCCTCTCGACAGATCTCAATTCACATCGCAAGCATTGCAACGGCTGCTGTCGAGTTGCTTGCAAGGCACTGCCTTCGTCACCTACGAGGGCACCGTGGTGCCCAAACGGAACGTCTTCGTCAAGGAGAACAAGGGGTTCCAGGAGCCTTTCGGTTTTGAAGCCGCCCTTTGTTCTAGTGCATTATCTGACTTTGCGCGCGTGGAGGTGCGTACGACGTACGTGCTCGTGCGATCATCATCCACTTGGCCGCTTGTCCTTGTGCTTGCTTCCGTTTACTCACGCTAAAGTGTAGGAGGAGGCCGAAGAGGCGGAGGAATTGGCGCCCTCTCCTTTTCCACGATTCTTCACTTCACCAGAGTTTCCGCTTTGCTTACCGAGCGAATTACAATGTGACAAGCCTTCCTTGGCAGAAGACTCCGTCATGGCCGAACGTTGGTCTTGAAAGCAGCAGCTCTTGAGGACTCCGCCCATGCGCCCGTTCCTGTCCCCATCATCACTTCCCTCCTCATCGTGTATTTCCGGTTTCGGCTCGAAAGCATTTGTGCTCAGGGCGAGCCCAGACGCCAAGCTCCCCGTATAGTTTCCCGCCTCGCGAGACTGGGAACGACCCAGGTCGTGGCAGATTGGCGCCGTATTTTATTTCAAGTTCCCGTGCTCGCCGCGATGGTTCCAGAAAGTCGTCGCCTTGTGTTTCATACACCGCCGCAGCCCAAACCTTCAGGCAAAGGCCCCTCAGAGGCAGCCTTAACGTAGGATACCAACCTCAGCCAAAATAGTAAAGCCTGCGTCGCCACACTCCAGGGCAATGGTGGCGTCAACCGAACTGTCGCTGCTTAACCGAACCTGGTCACAAACACCAAGACGAAGTTGACAACATATAAGGACAGCACCGTTGCGACCAGCGAGAGCTTAGGGGCGAGCTGACGAAATTGTGCGGGAAGAAGATCCGCTACATCATGCTGTTCCGCTTTCAGAAGCACAAGACGGGCACCAACTGTGATTCAGCAAAGTCCACGGTTTCGGCCGACGCCCACCTGGGCAAGGGCACCGCCCCTGTCATCGGCAGCGATGCACGGAACGAGGATGTCCCGACCGCGCTTCCGTTTTGCAGGGCCGATCGCGGGACTTGACATACCAGTAGCACCCACCGACACCCCACCAGGGCCGAAACACCGTCTGAGGATTTTTCGAACTCCGCGGTCATCTACCCTCCCGTCGTTTCAGAAAGGGCAGCCGCCGCCAGAGGGCCCTGGGCTAGACCGCTGCGTCCACCGCCGTGACGCACGGGCACGCCCACAAGGGTAGAGCTCAGCGCAAATGCAGGCGAGGTCATTCAGAAACCCGTGGCATGGCAGCTCGCTCGGTCTACCAGGACCGAAGCGCTGCCCGCCCCCTCAGGCACAGTCCCGTTCCCCATTCTTTTGTGAATCCAAAAAAGACATCGAAGTAACCGTCACCAGCGAGGTCGGAGAAACACGCAGAAACGGCCAACACAGCACCGTCATCGGACGCATAGGGAACCATAATTAGTGTTGGGCGTTCGCATTGACCAGAGGCAGCATTGCAACCCTGCCCGCTTCAAATCTGGCCCCAAGCTCCCAGCGCCTTATCTGGGAGGGGCAGCGCTGCTTCAACGTCAGGGCCCATGCCAGCAAAGCCAACAAGCTTGCCAGCTTGCCGATGGTGGCAGCCACTGTGGACGCACCAGACCTGCCTGCGCTCCCGAGGAGAATCGTGCCATGGCTTGCGGGCGAACTTCCGATGCCAGCAGGAACACCAGCGACTGCGGCACCGACCAAGGATCCCTGGCACCCCGCCCGCCGCGTGGCGGGGGGCCGCGTGGTCTCCTCCACCTCTGCGCGGACGGCTTCGCGATGTGCGCCAAGCCGCAGCAGCCAGGCTGGGGCGTCCTCCACCTGGACTGGCTGCGCCGCATCCGCTCGGCCGCCCCCCCGGTTGATCATTGGGTGCGTCCCGCCGTCTTCGGCGGTCGTGGCGCCGGCGCTGGAGGTCGCGGAGCGGCTGACACGGGGCCCGCAATTGCTGGGGGGCGACTCGCTGCCGCGGCTGCTGCTCGACAGCGCATCCTGGCCGACGCTCTCCCCGGCGCAGCTGCAGCGCGCGGGCACCGCCGTCGGCGCAGCCCTTCTGCCGAACGAGATTACGATGGCGACGCCGATGGACTGGCGCATTTTCGCGACGCCCCCTCCCGCGGCAACAGCGTTCGGCCGTTGGCGGAGTCGCGCCCTGGCGCGCTGCGCGACGAGGAGACGAATGACATCGCGCGCTTCATGGGCATGCGGGGGGGCGGACGGCAGCGAGGCACGCGCCGAGGTGATGGCGCATCTGGTGGCCATCGTCTTCGGCCACTGCCCGATCCACAACCTGCGGGCCCATGTGTTCAGGGTGCCGCAGACGCTGGCGACGGCGCTGGACCTGCTCGAGAGCGGAGGCCTGGCCGAGCTCTCCGACGTGCCGACGCAGCGGTTCAAGGCTGTCGAGCTGAGCCTCGAGGACGTGAGTTGCCAGGTGGCCGGCGCTAGAGGAAGCGGGGGGCGCGCGCCCGATCCCGACGCCCCCGGGCGAGCAGGACGCGGCGATGCGAGCTGATATTTGACGCGCGCGGAACGCTCGCGTAGCCTCGTCAGCTGGGGCCCAGGCCGATCGCCCAGCGAGCCGGAGCGTCGCCCGCCGAGCCGCCCACCGAGCCCGCGGCCAGCCGAGGGCGCCGCCGCTGCCGCAGCCGCCCCCGCCCGCCCCCGCGCCGGAGCGCTCTCCGACAGCTCTGGGCGGGGTGGGCGCGGGGGGCCGCCCGAGAGCGCCTCGAGGCGACGGCCCGCGCCCAGCTGCAGGGCCCTCAGGCCGAGCAAGGATCGCGCCGACGCCGGAGTGGCGGGCCGGGGCCCGAGGCTGGAGGGGGCAGCGTCGTCGGAGCGGCTGGCGGCCTTCTCCCCCGGCGACCGGGGCCGCGGCCGCGGGCCCCGCTAGAGAGGGGGGCTGAGGACGGCAATTCTTCATGATGACATGGCTGCCTGTCTGGCCTGGGGCGGCCCGGGCCGAGGCGGGCGCGGACTGCCGCGCCAACCTTGGCGGCCCCCTCGCGCCGCTGGCTTCGCCCGAGGACGTTGCCGACCCAGGGGCAGCAGGAGCGCCCCCCCCCCCGAGCGCCCCCCAGTCGACCCGCGGGGTGGGCGCGCGGGCGGCGGGGGCCCGCGGTCGGACTGGCGGCCCGGCGCGCCGCGGCGACCCGCCGAGCCCGCGGCTTCGTTCGGGGGCCGCCGACCCGGCGGCAGCAGGGCCTCGGGCGGGGTCGCTCGAGGCGGGGGCCCGCTGAGGGATTGGCGTAATCTGGCCGGTGCTGCCGGTGACGTCCTGCGCACGCCTGATCCTGGAGCGCTTCTTCGCGGGGTTTCCAGGGCCCCTCGGTCGCCGTGCTCGAGATATTCTCGAGTTGAAGTGCTGCGAGCTTTCGGCCGCCAAAGGCGGCGGGCTTCAGCGAGGCCCGTTGCCGTTGCCACGCCCTCGACTGTCCGTCGCGGAAACCGCCCTCAGCGACGAGAGCATCAGCGACAGGGTTTTGGCAAGCGCTGCTCGGCAGGCTGGAGGCGCCGATCATCGGGCTGAACTGGGACCCTGGCTACCGCGCCCTGAAGTCAGCAAGGCGGCGCCCTGGTCGAGCAAGCGCCGCTCAGACCGCCGCCATCAGGGCCCCTGCACGCTACCGCGCGATGCTGGCCGAGGTGGCGCTGCCGACGGAGCTGGAGTGGACCGAGCGAATGAAGGACAAGCGCATCGCCCATGACGGGCCCGAGGTCTCCGCGCCTCTCAGGCTCAAGCTGGGGCAAGAGCTGGATGGGCTGCCGCCGCCTGGGGTCGCTGCCCCCATCGAGGCCGCCGACCTGGCCGCTCGCATCGCGAGGGCCGCCCAACTGGACCCGTCGCTCGTCGCGCTCGCGCCCCTGCCGAGCGGCGGGTTGCCGCCGCCTCCGCTCGAGCGCGGGCCGCGAGGAAGGAGTGGCATCGCATCGTCGCCGCTCTTTACTCTCGCGGGATGGCTGGCCCCATCGAGCGGTCCGAGATCGCGACGCGGGGCGGGCGGCCCCTCCTGAACGGGGCCATCGGCGCGGCCAGGCCGCGCGACCCTCCGGCGCCGCGCTGACAGGGCGGCGCGAATCGGCCAGCCCCCCGGCCCATCACAGACCTGATCCCGTCGAGCGCCTGCCAGGCCGCGACCCAGGGAGACGCCCCCACGCCGCCCAGCATGGGCCCGCTGAGCGGCATGGTCCCACCCGAGACCGGGGGCCTGCTGCGCGGCGGCGCCGATGCCAAGGCCTTCCCCTGCGTCTTCCGAGCGCCCGCCCCGCGGCGGCCGCGCGCGGCGGTCGGAGGCCCTGCCCCCGCCGGGCTCAGCGGCGGCAAGCATGGGACCGTCCACCCAGATCTGCCTGAAGGTCGCGGGCACGGGGTTGATCAGCGCCGCTGGGTCGCGACCCGCCCGCGCCAGAGCATGCTCCGCCGCAGCAGCGCGGCGCCTCGAGGGCCGCGGCCCAGCGACGAGGTCGCCCGTCGCCGCCGCTTGCCGCTCGGGGTGGGGCGCCTCTGCACGGCCGCCTGGAGTCTTCGTCGGCGACCTGGAGATCGCCGCGGCGCCGAGCAAAAGCGAGGCGGCCGAGCTCAAGGGGACGGTGCCCTCGCTGCTGACCAAGGCCCGGGCCTGCCGCGAGCAGGTCGGCCCCCCTGGCTCGCCGGGCAAGGACATCCATCGGGTCGCGCGCGCCGCGGCGCCGGGCGAGCTCGCGGACGGCGTCGAGGGAATCCGTCGTCCGCCTGAGGGCTACCTGACGGAGATCATTGGCCGCGCGTTCTGGGTGCTAGGCAAGCGCAGCGCCAGTGGAGGCTCATGCAGATCTGGCTCGGCCGCTGGGCGCGCGCCCACTGCTTCCGCCGCCCTTCGGCGTCGAGCTTCGCCCGCGCCTGGCGCCGGTTGGCCGGGTCAGCCTCGGCGTCGCAGAGGACTTGCTGCTGTCCTCCGCGCTCTCCGCTCTGTGCGTGGCTGACCTCGGGGTGAAGGTCGACGTCGACCGCGTCGTCCCGGCCTCGGACTCCAGAGACGGCCGGGGCCGCGTTCCGCGCGGCAGGCCTCTCCGCGCGGGGCGCTCAGCTGGCCGCTCGCCGCCGCTGGCCCTGCGACCCCGCCTGCGAGGAGGAAGGGGCGGCCCTCGTCGACCTGTCCGACGGCGTCGGCAGCGGGCGGCGCGCGCAGGAGATCCCGGGGCTTGCGACGGCCATCCGCCGTTCCTTCGAGATCGACGCCGCCGCCTCCGAGCGGCCAGGCGCGCCTGCCCGAGCGCGGCGCACCCTGGGGGCGCGAGCGCCGCCGACCCGCAGGATTTAGCCAAGCGCTTGAGGGGGTGGGGCCGCGCGTCGCGCGCCCCAGTCATGGGCGGCTTCCCCTGCCAGGCCAATGCTGCGTTGAACGTCGATCGCAAGGGCCTGGCCGGCCCTCGGGCAGGCCTCGTCCAGCGCCTGAAGCGCGTCGCCGAGGGCCTGAAGAAGCAGCTCCGATTTTTTAACAGGATCCCCTACCAATCGGCTGGGCGGAGCGCCCCATGGCTTGACTGGCGCTGCCGAGCCACGAGGCGAGCTTCGGGGTCATCGTGTCGAAGCTTGCGGAGGGCGTCCAGCAGGCCTGGCGCGCGCGCCTACATGGTCGACGGCCACGTCTAGAGGAGTGGCTGCCGGCTGGCGCTTCCTGCCCGCGGCCCGAGGCAGGCGGGCCCCTGCCCGCCGCTACGCGGTGGGCCCCCCGGAAAGCCGCCGAGACCGCGGCCCGCAGGCATCCAAGAGCGCAGCGAGGCCGAGCTGGCGCGCTGGGCGGACGCGTGTCACGCGGCGCCTCCGTACCAGTGCTGCGCCAAGTGGTGCCCGCACTGGGCTGATGGCCAGGTCGCGCCGCCGCCGGCCACGGAGCGAGAGCACGCTGCCCATGGGCTTCGCCGAAGGCCACGCCGCGCCGCGCATGCCGAGCGGCGCCGTGAAGGCATAGCCCGAGAAGTACGAGGTCCTGCGGAGGTCTCTCGTCGGCAATTCCTTCCACTGCGAGGTTGTGGCTTGGTTCGAGCTCCCAGTGGCCGCGGTCCTGCCGGTGGCGGCCCCTTCGCTTGCGGTGCTGCGCGAGAGCGCCCGCGCCTGGGTTGGTGGCCGCAGCTCTAGGCGGAGGACGTCGCGTCGCTGCGGTGCGGCCGGGAGGCCTTCGACCCCCGGCGCCTCGCGGAGCTGGGCCAGCCTGGCGGCCCCGTGCACGTCGGCCGCGGATCGCTAGCCTCAGCGCCCCAGGCTCGCCCCGGGGCAACCCTTTCTGCGCGACTGGGGGCTGCCCGCGAGGGGAGGCCGCGGCGCCCCGCGCCCCCTGGCTGCGCTCGCAGACGCAGCTGCCAGGGAGGCTGGCTGGGCGAGCAGGTTTGCCGACGGCTCTTAAGTTGCGCCGCAGCGGGCCGGGTGAGGCCTGCCACGCGGGCGTCTTCCTGGCGGAGCAAGGCCAAGAGCGACGAGGCGCAGCGGCGCGACGTCGACGCCTCGCGCCGGCTGGACATGGGCTCGGCGATGGCGCGCCACCTCGACGGAGCCGACCTGAGGACGGACGGCAGCTCCGGGGCGATGGGGAAGGTCTCCCAACGGCAAGAGATTGGCGCAGGCATGCTGCAGCCGCGAAGGGCCAGGCGGGAGATCCAGGAGAGCGCGGAGCACATCGACTTCTCAGAGCGCCTAGGCGCGCCGATGATGATTCGTCGGCGAGCCCGAGCCGCGGCGCGCCACGAGTTCGTCTTCCGCCGCCTCCTCAACTCGGCTTTCAACGTCGGCGCGCCGTCAATCCGCCGGCCCCCAGCAGGCAGCGCAACAAGGCGGCGCGCAGTTTCTCTGCGTGGGAGCTGGCGATGGGGGCGCTGGCGGCGCTCAGGTTCACGAGCTCGCCCCGCGACCCCGCGGGCGCCCCGTCGCGCTCGCGAGATGGCGAAGCGCGCGGGGCCCGCCGATCGACGCGCCACCCGGGCTGGCGTGGGGCGACTGGGCGGCTCGAGGATCGGCGCCAAGACGTTCAGGCGCTATCTGACAGCCGCTCAGCAGTTCGCCGACTACGCCGTCGTCGCCCGCACCGACAGACTGGGAAGAGATGGGCCTGGCCCTTCAAGAGTGCCCCGATCACCTCTGGGCGCAAGGCGCGACGGAGGGCCGGGCCAATGGCGCCGTGAGAGACGCCCAGCACCTCCTGAAGTCCAGGAGGCAAGTGGCTTGAGCCTGGCATCTCTGAAGTGTCTGAGGGCGCCTCGAGGCCCCCTCTCGTGCTCCGCCGACGCCGGCGCCCGCGCGCGCAGCGCTCGCAGGCTGGACCCATGCTACGGGTGAGTTGGCTTTCGCGTCAGTCGTGATGGCCGCCTGGCACCTTCGCCTCCGCACTGGGGAGGCCCTCAACCTGTGCGGGGCCTTCATTTCTTTGCCCAGATAAGCGCGGTGTCGTCAGCCTTCGCTGGGCAAAGACATCGTGCCAAAATGGTACCCGAGAGAGTCTGTCGCTAGACGGCCCTTGTGTATGGGGCCTCGGCCGATTGGCAGTTGCATCGCGGATCAAATTCTCGACTGCGGACCCTGACGACTCGAGCGTTTCATCTGATGTTTTGCAGAGCCCTGCGCGAGATCGGGCGCAGTCACCTTCGCCTCCCCCCTTATAGTTTGCGGTGGGGAGGGGCCGCCCACGAATCCCAGTCTTCGGGCAAACTCTTTGAAACATATGGCGAGAGACAGATGGTCATCCCACCGAACGGCGCGCATCTTTAACCCAGATGGTGCTGCAGTTTTGGCAGAGATGAAGCTCCCGTCTCGACTGCGTGAGACCTTAGAGCGTCGCAGTGCCTCCTTTGCGGCACTAGTGCGTCAGTCCTGTCATGTCATGTTGAGAGCTCATCGGGGCTTTAATTCTTCTTATTAAGATGTTGAATTTCATGATGTATACATATATATATATATACACTGACGAAGGGTCGTGGACGGCTGAGAGCCAAAGAAGAGAACCGAAGTGCGTGCAAAGCGCGTGAACAGTAGGTGTCTCTGAGATGGCTGGAGCTAGCCTGAACCACCTTCCTGGGTTTCACCCACGTCGGCCTCGTTCCCCTCGCGCTGCCCCACGCGGCCCCCCCCATCGTCCGCGATCCCCCAGCCTGGGAAGCGCCAGAGCGCTCCCATGATAGGCGGTGGCGAATCCAGCCGTGACTTGGGGTGATCGCCGAGGGGGCGGCTTCGCTGAAGGGGTCGGGGGTCCGCGGGCTGTCGCCCGGGCTTCTGAGGTGTGCTAGCTACACAAAAACGATGGCCGAGAGAGAGATAGAGAGA